CATCCGAACTGAAGAAGGCCTATTGAATTCGCGTCACCTCTAGAGAGCTTCAAAACTTCTTGAATGAAGACTCTTGATCTGGAAGATTTCCAAGCATCGAGCAGCTCCGACAACGTCGCTACCAGGATATCATCTTCACCGCAGTCGCCAAGGCGCGGTTGATGGTATGGACCGGAAGTTCCTGGAATGGGAAGACCGATATTTTCTTCGTGGACCCCGGACTGAAAGTGAACGCTGACGGTTACATCGAACAGCTCGAGGAGAATATCCTGCCTTCATGTCGTCGCCTGTACCATCTTGGAAACTTCGTACTGCTACAGGATTGGGTGCCAGCACATGGAATCGAAAAACTCTCGCCTACTTGGAATCGAAGGGCGTTGAGTACCTGAAGAAGACGGAATATCCAAGTGTGTCACCTGACCTAAACCCCTCGATTACCCGGTTCGGGCGGAGCTCAACAGGGTGGTCTACAGTGGCGGAGAAATCAACGACCTCGCTGAACTCAGGCACCGAATCACGGTCGCGTGGCAGAATCTCTCGATGGCGTTCGTCCAGAAGGCTGTGGCGGAGTTTCGTGATCGTGTACAATGTGTTGTTGAATTTGATGGTGGAAATGTCCAATCAGAATTAATAAAGTGTAACTTATTTCGCCTTGAAAGTCGAGGGAAAAAGTGTGGTACTTTACCTATTCCGACTTCTTGATCGGCTTGCACATCTTACTCACAATATCAGCGGGAAGCCTCTTAACATACCGACTGCTGCTTCTCTGTCTCTGCTTACAAGAGTGGAAGACTGCGCGACTGGGATTATTCAATCTCATTATTCCTTGGCCCTAACGAAAATTTATTCACTGGAAGATTCCTTTTTCTGACAAAATCGAACCTTCTCTGGAAAGGCGAATTAAAATATCTACTTCGCCATAATCTTGTGTTAAAACCTCAGACGAGAAGCTTACAGCTTCTGCTGCTCTACTACCGAAGTTGTATTGCTATTTCATAATGCTTCGAAGATTTAGCTTAGCAAAATCAGCATACATTGTTTTAATTAGTGCCTAAACTTTGGAAATTTGAAAATTTGAATAGAATCGGAAACCTTACCTAGTTTTTTTTTGTTCAGTGCAAGTTTTGTACTGATTGTTCTTGATTACAGGAGTCATACGCCGGTGGCCTTTCGTGCACCGTCAAGGACGAAAAGGTTTTCTGTGGGACATGGGCGGTCATATCACTTTCAATCACAATTTTCCCTACTATGAGAAGGCCGTGAAGTGGGCAGTAGATGAGTGGAACAGTTTGCAAAGAAACTGCATGGTATGGTAGATTTCACATTTTGTAAGCTATGCACAAGGGTCGAGGGTGCTTCCAGGTAGATATGAACTACCTTTACGACAAGGCTGGTATCCACTTGGTACCGTATCCGGCGCAATTCGCCGTACCGCTTTTTCCCGAGGAAGTGAAACAGAACTGTCTTAAGGATCTTAAAGAGCGCTATGAGCAGGTGACCACTCAGAATCTTCTTTATATGTGCATTTCACCTCAAGGTATCTGTGGAAGTTTTTCAGGAACCAGATGGGACACCAGAGAACTTCGACGACTGGGTGTTGAAACACTTTGGACCCACTATTCTGGATGTATTTTTCAAGCCCTACACGAAGAAGGTTCATTGAATGAACATGTAGTAATGTGGTGGAACAGCATCTCAAGTAAATTCACAGGGAACGCTGCTATTTGGTTTCACCCTGGGGCTAACTTGGCTTTTTTGAAAGCTTGACTTACATGGACCAGCTAAATCTGAACTCCTTTCGAGATTGTAGGGAGAACAAACAAGAAATTCTTTGCTCACTTCAATTCGACCGAAGCTATACTCGAGATCCCTGAGATCGGGTAGGCGAGGCTGCATTCTTCAGCTTAACCTGAAGGGGTCCATGGGGCGGACGGCTGCTCCTAACGTCAGAGGTGGGAGCTCTTCAACCTGCCCTTTAATCAGTAAGGTTGGCAGCGACCGCCCACCTCAGCGATCGCCCTTAAGCACAGCCTTTAATCTGACGCGCTTTAATCAGTGCGATATGAGCGAAGGGCCTCTTGTTTGTCCTTCAAACTATGACAGTACTGGATAGTACTGATTGCGAGAAGCATGAGATGACGGCGCTGCTATAATGTACCTGTGCCACATCAAGACATTCAGGTGTGGACAGTAGAACCATCCAAAATGTCTCCGAACTGGGTCGGAACACGCGTGGCAAAACTACCGCAGGAAAAACTCGAGGAACTCTGTGCAATGAGTCAAAAAGAACTCTCCGTAGGTTCATTTTCGAATTCAATTCTGGAAGAAAGGAACACGGGCCACAACTCGCGAGATATAATTTTTAGACTGCTGATTTCGGTTGGGGACCGAACTCCTGCTTCACATTCCCTAAGTATGGTGGAACAGGAAATGTATGGAATTCGATGTCGAAGAAACTGCCGAAGAGCTGGTTCAAATTTAGCACTAAGGTGGGAGTTTTCAGTCTCAGACCGTTTAGCCGTGTACTGATCTTTAAGATCAAGCTTCAAATGAGAAGCTGTAAATCGACTTCTTCAAGGAAACATTCCTCAAAGCGTGTTAAGCGTGATTGAAGAATAGGTTTGTAGTGTGAACAATTGGTAATTTCGGGATTCAGCGGAGGGCAAGACTTTGCATGACAGCTCTACAGTGGCCGCAGTAAAGTAAATTGAAAAAATAAGAAAACGATTTTCGCCACTGGTTCCATTGAAAACTTTCCGATGACCCTCCCCTTTCAATGTGGAGACAAGAAATGAAAGACTCTTCAGCGCAGTTGCGCCTGGGAGGGGGCACTTGCCTTTCTCTACTTCCCGCGTCGAGCCTTCAGGCAGATATTTGTGAAGTATTGTAAAGCAATGAAGTGATACCAGTTGAAGTTTTTGGAGACTACTTATATAACTCTTGTAAAGAAGACCTGTCAACTCTTGCCAGGCAATAAAATACTATGAGAGAGTAGCGAACACACAAGTCCGCCGCATTCCGCTCTCTATGAAAAGGCATTGTGCCGAATTTCCCTTTGCCAGGCTTCCAAAGGTCGCATGCAGCCAGAAGGCAGGCGTTTGTCAACCCTTTCGGAAACTCAACACATTCTTTTCCATTCAGACGCGTATCGGCTTCAAAAGAAATTTCTCCCATACAATAAGGTGTGGATCTAGCCAATGTTCAGGACAATATTTTCTTTTTCCCAAAAGAACCTGAGGGACTCAAGAGCTTTGACAGGAGATGAGCTTATTCTTTTTTGAAGAAGAGACTGATTGGATCCGATTCTTAGACAGTTTGTTTGGTATGCACAATCCCATTCTCACCATAGACTCAGAAGAGGAAGTGCCGAAGGTATGCTCCCACGTAAAAGCTCAGCTTGCCAATCATAGGTGAGATCCGGCGCCTGTTTATTGACAAGGGGGATGGAAATTCCTGTTTTCAGAGATGTGCCAACCCATCAAGGTACCTTTTTCGAGTTGACACGTTTTAGGATGGTGGCTAGACGATCTTGCTCCAGCTTCACAAGCGTTCACAAGTTTTACCAGAGTGAGATTTGTAAACCGGAACCAGGGAAGCAATTATAATACAAAATGCCCCCCCCCGTTGATAAACAGCGCCGTGGGTGCTCAATGCTTAAGTGACTTTGTTCTTATATTTATGACATGACGTGGCATTACATTTCATGGACGACTTTTTCCGACAACGGAAGAATATTAAGAAGAGTCAGAATCCCTGAGCGCTTCTTCTTTTCACTGCGATTCCAAAAGACAGTGTTGTATGGGGATGCGAGTTCTCTGAAACTTAACAATATGTTTTTGTTATGAGTACAAACAAAAATATTAATAACAGAGACAGTACTTCTTGCTCCAATGATCATGAAAACGACGAGTAGATCCGATATGGGAAGCGAAGAAAAACCCAACCCTTCACGGGAACCCGTCAGGTTGTTCCATTAGTAGTACGGTTCAATACCTATCTTGCGCAATAGGATTTTTTGCAGAACTTAGTCGAGGAATGTCTGTGGAATTCTGCTCCTACTACGTACATGTAGGCGATAACATTGAAGATATTATTTCTGGGATGCCTGACTCGAAACTTTTAGTTATGTCTCGGTTTTCCTTCTGCACTTGATTCCTTGCATAGAAATCAACTGCGGTAGACCAACCGTGCACAGCCTG